GTCCGGGGCTTTCTCCATCCTTTACCCAGCGGAACGAGCTTTGCCGACGAGAAGGCAACACGTGCTCACCGCGAAAACATAAATAACACATGTGAGCAAGACGTGACGTGGGAATTACAGAGTGTAAGCAGCCCCTGGCCCCGGCCCTGGACGGGGGTCCCAGTGACCCCGCACGCGGCCTGTAAAGATGCCCCCCTTCCTCACCCGCGGGAGGTGGGGAGCTGGCGAGGGGCGGGGCCTGCTAGAGACCTGGCGGGGACTCCCGCCCTGTCGCCCCAGCGCCGTGGCCTTGCACACCTGTGGGATGGGAACAGCAGCTGTCACCTCCTAGGGCATCTTCCAGGTGAGAGCGCACTTACAACGCGCCGCAGCGAATCGGGCACTTGCTAGAGTGTCCATGACATTCGAGCTCTAGTCCTTCTCCCTCCAAAAGGGGGCCCAGGACACCAGAGTGCGGTCAGACGTGCCCTGCAGGGTCGCAACCCCCCCAGCCACAGCACCCCGGGGTGTCCCCCTTGCACTTGGGAAATTTCAGCTTTGCACACAGTAGGCGCCTATTGAGCCATCTCTGAATTGAATGGAGGGTGGGAATCACACCCGAAGGGCAGCCTCAGGACGAGGCTTCCCCTCTGAAATCTCTCTGGTTTGTGGTATTTCCAAGCCCCCCACCGCCCCGCCCTGGCGCTTTCACTAGCGGGGGTGGGGGGGATTCCCCACCAGGCCCCCACTCCCAGCCTCTGCCCCCCCAGAAGGAGTGTGTCCCCAGCCAGGAAGGCATGTGCCCCCCCAATGGCTGGCTTCGAGCCACCCCATAAACAACAAAACCACACCTGCGAGAAACTTGCACAGGATCAACAAGCAGGGAGGGTGTGCAGTCCCTGCCTCGTTTGGGCGACGCCGGACATTTCTCAGAGGCCTCTCTCAGCTGTCTGGGCCCTTCCAGGGGGTGGACTGGGGGCCCCCGCACTCCGGAGAGCCGTGGGGCCTTGAGAGCAAGTCAGGGACATGGCCTTGAGTTAGTGGGGTTTATGAAGGTAGTATGGGGGTCCCCTGGGCGGGAGGGGCTGGGAGAAGTGTGAGGTGCGGGCATCGGAGAGCCCGAGGCCAGGGTCACCCAGGGTACCACAGCCAGGGTCGCCCCAGCCCTGCCTCCACCTCCCGGGGAGGGCCGCCCCCGCCCCGGCCCCGACCCTCCCCGGCCCCTTCCCGCAGCTCTGCCTCCGGGCTTGCCTCCACCCTACTGCGGTTGCCTCTGGGTCCCCCGGGGGTGGCGTCCACCAGCCTGGAGCCCTGATCCGAGCCCCAGCCCCGTCTGCACAAACCCAGCATTGCCTCTGCCCTGCCGAGTGAACTGAGGTTCCCAGGGGAGTTGTGCCCTGTGCCAGGTCCCACCGCGTGTAGGGGGGAGGCCGCGTCCGAGCCAAGCCTGGCCCTAAGCACAGGGACCTCCCCGTGAGCGGGGCGCCCCTCTGTTCCGCGTCTGAGCATGGCAGGACGCGTTCAAGATGGAAAGCAAAACCCACCTGGTAGGGGGCAGATCGGGGCCAGGAGGGGGCAGCCAGCGGGGGCAGAGGTGAGGGTCCAGGGCAGGCTCTTGCGCGCACGTGGTTTGGGAGAAGCCCCCCGCCCCGACGCTCTTCCAGGCAGGGAGGGACTCAGCACTGGGGTCTTCCTGAAGCCTGCCTTTCATCTCCGTGGGGTTGGGGGCGCACCGGCCAGCCTCACCCAGGGAAGAGCAGGGTCAAGCGGGGAGCCAGCTGACAAGTCAGGAGAGAGGGGATCCCGACAGACACTCGATGCTGCCCCCTGCTTCTCACCTTCGGTGGCTCCCCATCGCCCCAGGAAGGACAGGCCCAGATTCCTCACGGCCTGGGAGATGAAGCCCCCCACCACCATCACCTGCTGTGCCTTCTGTGGGGACCCCCAAGGCCAGAGTACTAGCGACTGCCTCAGGGAACCCCAAACCTGCACCACTTTAATGATGCTCACTGAAGCCTTTTTTAGTTTTTATTTATTTTTGAGAGAGAGACAGAGAGAGAGCACTTGCGGGAAAGGCACAGAGAGAGAGCAGAGAGAGAATCCCAAGCAGGCTCCGCACAGTCAGCAGCTGTGAGCGCCGAGCAGATGCGGGGCTTGAACTCACGAACCATGAGATCATGACCTGAACAAAAACCAAGGGTCAAACATTTAACTGACTGAGCCCCCAGGCGCCCCACTCACTTGCAGTTTCTTAAATCAAGCTCCTCACAGACTGCTGTCTGCAGGGCAATGGCGGGAGGGCTGCGAGGCCGGCGCGCACCAGCCAGCGGCTCGGCTTCGCCCTTGGATGGGACTGAAGGACAAGCATCAGAGTGAGGGGGACTGTCCTCGGGGGGCCTTCGTTTCCCAGTCTGGGCTCTGAACTTCCAGGAAGGCTCTGCCCGGGGGCAGCTCAGATGATTATCCCCGTGTTACAGAAGGGAAACTGAGGCACAGAGAGATAACCCAGCTAGTAAGTTGTCCTCTGTGAGCCAAGCTCAAAGCGAGCACGGGGCTCTCTCCTGGCTCCCGGCACGGGGCTGTGGTCCCTACGGCACAGAGGGAGGTGGGGGGCTTCATCCCGACAGCCCGGGCCTGGCTCAGAGACGGCCTGATCCAACGCCACCATGTGCCCAGCCCGGAGCTGGGGAGCTACGCAGGGACGGAGCGAGGGGAGGGCTCCGGGGAGAGAGCGGGCTGCCCCATCGGGGGGGAGGGGGGAGGGGCGCCTCTGGTCAGCCCCCGCTCGCCCTGCAGCTCCCCGTGGAGAACATGCTCTTTCCAGAAAGTCTCGCTGGCTATGCTCAATCAGGCAGCCTGGGCGGGAGGGGTCAGAGCAGGGAGACCGGCAGCAGCCGCCCACCAGCAGGACGCGAAGCAGGGGTCGGAGTGGAATCCATGACCCAGGGTTCCATCGCTTGGGCCAGAACAGCCCTGCAGTGTTGAGGGGCCCGGGGAGGGGACAGAGGCCAGGACTCAAGCCCTCCCCCCTGGAACCCACGAGAGCAAACCACAGAGCAAACCCCTCCCGACACGGGGATCCTCGGTTCCGCGCACCCTTGCCCTGCACAGGGAGCTCTGCCAAAGGAGCCCACCTCTGTGCCTACAGGAGCAGCCGCACTTCTGAGCCTCAGTTTCCCCAGCTGGAGCACACAGATAGCCTGCGTTTCCCACTCGACTCCACACCCCCAGCCTGAGACCCGCAGACCCCCACCCTCCTCGAGGCCCTGCTCCAGCCTCAGCCAGAGGGTCCCCAGCCCGAGGATGTGCTCACCACCGAGCCCACAGAGGGCTGGGCTTCCAGAACGGGACCCAGTCACCGGGGCTCAGCCGTGCTTTGGGGTGGGGCCACTGTAGGGGCATCAAATGGCTACAGCTAATCCGGATGAGGAAACTGAGGCCTGGTGCACGGGCACGCAGCGCGGAGTGGCCAGGCCGGCTCCACGGAGACCCCGGAAGCCACAAGCCCAGGCTCCAGGCCCCCAGCCCGCACGGTGCCCCCCCTCCCCGCCCTCCCGTCTTCTGAGCCCAGAGGTGAGCTTCAAGAGAGGTGGCCGGGGCCGATCCTCTGGCCTTTTTCTGGCAAAATTCACAGCTTCCTGTTTGTCAGATGAAAGACAAGGAGGCCGTCAGATTGGGGGCAAAGTCCTTCTGATGAGCTCTTGTGAATAAGTAGAAGCAGGAGTGGACAAGCCCCTGCCATCTTGACACCCTAGCGTGAACATGCGGGGCGATGTGTTAAGGACAAAACCCCAGGGTGCGGTGAGCTCCCCGGGCCGCAAACCCCGGCGAGTTCTGGGGACTCAGAGCGTGTGGGGCACAGGCAGGACGGTGTGCAGCCCGCTTGGGCCACGGTGCCCATCGGAAGGGTCACCCTCGGAGACAACCCCAGCAGGCCGCAGCCCAGGGCCACTCTCGGCGTCCGCCCGGCTTCAGTTTACCTGCCTGCCAAATGGGCGCACCAGCACTTCCTGGACCAGCCCCAGTGGGGCCACAGAGGCCAGCCGTACGGAGCGGGCATGTCCTCCAGGAAGGCCGGGGTCACCGGTCCTCCCCAGGGGGCTGGTTACCCCTCGTCTCCAGAGCCCAACAACTCAGCACAAACCCGTTTGCTGGCCTCACAGTGACTCGGGGACTTGGAAACCAAGCCATTTGTCACTGCCTCTGTGGGCACAGCAAAGAGCAGACCCGTCAGAGCTTCTGGATGCCCCATCCCCCCTCCACCTGCACCGACCGGGCAGGGCAAGCTCAAGGCCAGCTGGAAAGTGCATCGCCTCCCCGGGCCTGGCCTGGCCTGGCCACCCTGTGTTCAGGCTGGGGTCACTGGCCCGTGGGCTGCGGGCAGGCTGTTGGGGGAGGGGGGCTTCAGAGCACCAGGCAGGTGGGCAAGATGGAGGAGGAGGGAAGGAGAGGGGCGAGGCTACCTGGGTGCTAGGAATTAGGGAAAGAACGGGGTGTTTGCAGCCAAGAAAAAGGGACAGGGAAGCCCTGAGCAGGGCTGGGATCAGACCCGGGGTCCACAGCCCCCATCCCTCAGGTCACCAGACACAGGTCCCGGGCTCCCCCATCCCCAGCGCTGCACTGGGGGCTGAGGGAGGACAGTCCTCAGAGAGCACATGGCAGCCCAGGAGCGGGCACCGGGCTCTGCTGGGTGAGCACCCCTGGGTACAGAGCACCCGCTGGAGCACCCCCCAGGTATGAGCACCCTCTGGGGGAGCACCCGCTGGGGGAGCACTCACCTGCATATGGAGCACTGCTGGAGCACCCCCCGGGTACGGAGCACCCCCAAGTATGAGCACCCGCTGGGGGAGCACTCACCTGCATATGGAGCACCCACTGGAGCATCCCCCAGGTACGGAGCACCTGCTGGAGCACCCCCCAGGTATGAGCAGCCTCTGGGAGAGCACTCACTTGCATATGGAGCACTGCTGGAGCACCCCCCAGGTACGGAGCACCCCCAGGTATGAGCACCCGCTGGGGGAGCACTCACCTGCATATGGAGCACCCGCTGGAGCATCCACCTGGGTACAGAGCGGCTGCTGGGGCACCCTGCCAGCTATCGAGCATCTGCTGGGGCACCCCGCCAGGTACATCCACCGGAGCGAGAAGGAGTAACAGGCACCCACGTGGGCCCAGGGAAGCCTCAAGGGCATGTGAGCGATTTCCAGACCCCGGGAAAGACTCCGCCCTCCAGCACAAGAGTGACCATCGCCGGGGGCCCCGAAACCCTCAGGGGCTGGGCACGCCCACCGTGAAGGGCTCTCTCACCGCAGCTGGGAGTTACTAACCTCATGTCTCAGAGCCGGGTGGGAAGGAAAACCTGAGGCTTCAGTGGGTCATCCTGCAGCTTAGGGCCCCACTGTGATCTCCGGCCACTGCTGGGTTGGGACACAGGAAGTTCCCAAGGTCGCAGGGCAAGCCAGTGGCCCCTGAGGACAGGGTCAGGGTGGCGTTGTCTGTGTTCCCTCAGCCCCTGAGTGCTTCACCCCTCAGCCCGGGCTCCCCATCCCGCCTCACACCCCAGGGAGCAGAGGCCCCGGAGGAGAACACACAGGGGTTCTCCAGCGTGTGTTGAGCCCAAAGCCCCCTGTGACCTCTGGCCTGAGGCCGCCTGGCCACGGCCTCTGCCTTCTGCTGGGGCCTGGATACCCTGGGTGAAGGTCAAAGTCACCTGTGAGCACAGAAACCAGAGTAAGAGACTGGAGAAAGGCCAAGAAGCAAGACCCCCAGAAGGAATGTAGGCTGCGTCTTCTTCAGACCCCCTGCCCCCAGGCATGGATTACGGATCCTCCAAATAATGTCAATAAAGGCTTCTCTCTTGAACAGAAAGAGCCTCTCTTTGGTCATATTTCCCTTTTTTGCCATGGCTGCCAGGAAGCTCAGTATGGCACTCAGCACAACCACATGGTCCCTCTGCTCACTTCCCCACCCAACCATGCCCCCTGGAGTTGGCTTTGCCAGCTTGTCTGTCTGTCTTCTTTGAAATGCGTGTGTCCCTGGCAAACCTCCTCTGACCTTGGAGGAATGAGGTGGACTTGGCCTTCATTTGCCTAAGTTCACATGCAGTGGACCTGCACCTGCCAACAAGGCTGATGTTCAAAAGGGCCTCGAGCTCAGGAGGCAGTGGGGCCTGGGTACAGGTCCGGGAGCGAGAAGGGGTGAGGGGAAGGGGTCACTCAGTAGCCTTGCTGGACGTCGCTGAACAAGGCTGGAACCTGGTGGGGCTGGAGGGAGGCTCTGGGCAGGGAAGGGGCTCTAGGAAGAGGCCATCTGGGAAAACCAAGACCAAGGCCGTTCTCCAAATCAGCAAGAGCCCAGGGATTGGGTGGTGGAGGAGTGGGGAACTGGGTCCCCAGGGGGCCCACCCACCTCCCCAGACCAGGACCCCCCCCACACCTCCCCTGCAGCCCCCTGCACGGGGGGCTCTGTGCTGGCCCTGGGACAGTGCGGCCGCCCGGCCTGCGTCCAACCCCGCGTGTCCTGCTCTGGGGCGCACCCAGCTGTCCCTTTAAGGAGCTGGGGGCTGCTGCTGGCATAGCGCACAGTCGGCCAGTGCAGAGACGGGCACGTTCCTGATCCTTCTGGAAGGCTGGCTTGCAGAGGAGACACAGTGTTCTTGCTCAGCTCAGTAAACAAGCCTGAAGTGCTGTGAGAGCCTCTGCCCATACAACGGACTGAAACACACACGCGCCTCACGAAGGGAGGCCCGGCTGTGGGAGGGGCTGCGCAGGAGGGCACCCGGGCTGCCCGCCGCGCCGGCTCCCAGTGGGTCACCTCAAAGCTCACTGCGGGTGTGCCCGGCTCCCGGCCACACCCTGAGCGTCCAGATGTGGGTTGCGTGTGTGAGCCTGCTAGGGTGCCTGTGCACCTGTGTCCCCAGATGGGTGCCCGGGGTGCCCCGTGTCTGCGTGGCGCTGGGGCAGGTGTGTCTGCGCACCCACAGGGTGCCAGGCACGTGGGTACACACAGCTCCCCAGCTCACTTCCTGGGGACCTGGCTGGAGGAGCCGCAGGTTAGCACCGCCCGTGGACGGGAGCAGGGAGCCCTGCTCCCCAGAGAGTTAATTAAGGGCCTCTGGGGCAAGGAGACCTGGCATCTGCAGGAGCCAAGGCCAAGGCCAGCTTGGGGCCCGTCCCGGAGTGCTGCCCGCAGGAACGATGGACTGAGGGCCCAGGAGCCCCTAAGGGGCGCTCCGGGCACGGGGAGAGGCGGGCCCCTGTGCCGTGCGGACGCCAAAGCATGGCCTTCCTGGCAAAGACCAGGCTCTCGAACCAGCTCGGCCGCTCCAGGCTCCGTTGACCTGAGGCAAATGGTCAAGGATTCTGACTCACTTGCCTCATCTGTAAAACGGGCAGAGCCCCATCTGCCTCCCAGGGCAGTCATGAATAGTTTGGAGGAGAGACCCGGCTGCCCGACGAGGTGCCCGCAACAGAGCGACACGGCCGCCACCCCCCACCTCTGCATCACAGGCGAGAGGAGCGCGGGCACGTCCAGGCCCTGCTCTGCTGTGTTAGGGCGCTCAGCCTCACCCGGCGGAGGGGCCAGAGTGTCACCTCCCCACCGCTAGACCTGGCAGGCTGCCCGACTCAGGGCCGGGCGCTGCAGGGACAGCGCCGTGCTCAGGCCGGCTCACCCTGCTGGAGGGGCAGGCACAGGCCGGGGCTTGGGCGGGTGGGAGGTGCCGAGCTTGCATGGCAGAGACACGGTGTGGCCTGGGCCGTCCGCCTGGTGGAGGAGATGCATGAGGCCTGCAGGCAGGGGGCAGCAGGGTTAAGGGCGGGACAGACCAGGGGAACTGGCCAGAACAGCACCAAACACACAGTAGGTGCTCAATTAATGCCTGATGAGTAAGTGAAAGGAAGCCCGTGAAGCAGGAGAAAACTGAAACCCAGAGGGACGTCCTTCTAGGGTCACGGGTGCCCCCCATTCGCCTGGCCCCAGAGCTGTGCCCCTCCTGGCCCAAGAGGCCGTGCTGGCCGCGCCAGGCCTTCCCACGGAGGGAGGGAGGGCACACAGCTCGTACCTCTCAGCGCGAGGAGGCCCCGGGGCTCGTGTCCAGGAGCCCACTCCGTCTTCTGCTTTGCAGGCGAGCCAAGCGGTGCAGGAACGGTCAATTCCCTGATTTCCTGCACGAACCCACGGGGCGGCCCCGGGGACTCAGAGGAGCGCCCTCTGCGCCTGGCAGCTTCGCAAGGCTTCCCAGCCAGGAGGCCCATTTAGGAAATGGGTGGCAGGAGGGGCTGCGGGGGCGTGAAGGGTGACGGCTGCCAGCCAATGCCGGGGCTGCCAGCCGGTCCACCCCTCGGGCTCCTGGCGGCTGGGGGCGGGGGCGGGGGACTCCCCAGCAGGGCTGAGCCTCTGGGTGCCTGTGAGCCAAAACCACTCAGAAACCACAGGCCAAATGAGTCCACTTTCTAAAGTGCCCAGGGAGCAAGGGGGACACCGCGGTTTCTGGGCCCCGTGGGGTGTGGGGGCGGCTGTGCCATGGGCGGGGCGCGGAACGTGCCCCCAGCTGCCCCCAGGTCCTCAGGCTCGGGCTGAGCGTGGGCCACGGACCGTGTGCTCAGGATACCCGCCGGGGTGCGCAGCGCTGGCCCTGACAGGTCTGCTCATGCCTGCTGTGCCCTCCCTCGGTCCCAGGAAAGTGACCAAGCCATCAAGCACGCCCCCCGCAGGGAGGAAGGAGGTGAGGACGGTGACGTGGCCGAGCCGCGAAGACCTGGGCACAGGGGCCCGACCTCTCGGCCACGGAAGTGGGTGCTCCCTCCTGGGGCGGGGCTGGCTGTCCCCTCCCTGGGCCCCAGGGGCCCCCCCACAGCAGCCCTGGAGGCGGCAGACCCCGGGCTGGGGGTCGCCTCTGAGCCGGGCCAGGCCTGCGCTGCCTCACTTCTCCAGCCCCCGGGAACTGGGCCCCCAGACGGCCCGGGTGAGGGTATGCGGGCCCACCAAGCATGCCCAGGGGCACACGGTAGGCGACAGGCCTTGAGCCCCGGGCCTGCTCCTGTTCCCAAGGGCTGACGGGCTGGGTCACCAGCGCTGCGCTGCCAAAGCCCACGGGAGGGAGGCAGGAACCGAGGCGCAGGGAGGGGCAGGTGGGTAAGGCCAGAAAGCAAGTGCGTGTGCCCAGTGTGCCTCCCTGTCGGCGGGGGGCGGGGGGGGCTGCCACCCACAGAGCCTGGAGGCTGGGCAGGAGGATGGAACCGCCCCGCCCCGCCTGTGGGCAGGAGGAGGTCAGGGTGGGAGGATTCAGGGGAGGGGGCAGGGGGAGGGTGAAGAGTGGGAGCGTAAGCAGGGGGAGGGGGCAGGGGGCAGAGGGGAGGGGGGAGGGGACAGAGGGGGGAGGGGGCAGGGGGCAGGGGGGATGGGGGAGGGGACAGAGGGGGAGGGGGCAGGGGGCAGAGGGGATGGGGGAGGGGACAGAGGGGGAGAGGGCAGGAGGAGGGGGCAGAGGGGGAGGGGCGGGGGCAGAGGGGGCAGGGGGAAGAGACAGAGGGGAGGGGACAGAGGGGAGGGGGCAGGGGTGGAAAGAAGGGGACGCAGGAGGATCGGGGATGGGGGAGGCTGCTGGCCGGGTGACCCTGAGCCCCTCCGCCCCTCCCCCGCCCCTGTCCCGTCAGGAAAGGAGGAGAGGCTGCTGCTGGAGCAGGTCCCTTCTCTCGGGCGCCCTGGCTCCTCAGTCACTCGGTGGACGGGGAGGCGGGCCCAGGCCCGTGCCAGGCTCCCGCATCCGGGCGACCCAGCAAACACCAGTCCTGCTGCAGAAGGAACCACGCGGGCCACGGGGAGGACTCTCTCTGGCGCCCGCTGTCCCCTGCCTCCCTCCCAGACCACAGCGCTCCTCCAGAGGAACGGGGAAGCGTGCTCCCGCGGGTGCAGGGGCCCCCACGGAACACAGGACTCGAGCCCTCTCGCTCGCCTCGCTGTCCCCAACAGGCAGAGCCGGCCGCGGCGGACCGTGGGGCCGGGTGGGGGGTCCCTGAGGAAATTCTCCAAGCAAAGCCCCCAGGGAGCTGCCGGGCAGAGAGAGACACGGTCCAAGCAGAGGCACAGAATGGCCCTCTGGGGACCCGGGGACGTCTCCCAGACAGAGAGGGGGCGCCCGGGCCGCCAAGGGAAGCAGAACCAGAGCTGCGAGAGTGAGGGCAGAACTTCGGGGAGGGCCGAGAAGAGGGGGCCGTGGTCTGGAGCAAGAGGGGCGGCGGGTGGGGGGCAAGTCTGCGAGAGGCTCTGCCCCCCACGTACGGATGCCCTTTGACCTGCACCTGGGCTCCCGGGACTCTGCACCCCAGCGCCCTTTTCCCAGGGACACTGCTCACATGTCACATCACAGCCATGTTCCGGGGACAGCAGCCTCCCCTCCCCGCCACGCCCCCACAGAGCCCTGAGGTTCACCATCAGGGAGGCAGGGGCCTTGAGGTTTGGGGGAGCCCCATGCAACAGAGCCACCGGGTGAGGCGAAGGCTGGAGAGCTCTTCAACAGGCGTGGGAGTCCCGGGTCCCCCCCATCCTCAGCCTCCTCTGCTGGGCGTTTCTCAATGGGTTTAGTGGCTATTGAAGAGCTTGGAGCCTGCCTCATCTCTGACACCTGCCGTCCACCACGCACTCACTGCCGGCAGCAACTTCCCATAATGTGGGTGCCAGCCCATCACACGCTTGCTAAACAACCCTCCTCGGCTGCCCATCCCCCCCGAGGGAAAGCTGTTGTCATGTGTGGGCTCCATCACCCTGTGCTGGCCTCCCTTCCCCAGCCTGAGGCCACACCTCCTCCCCACCCCAGCCCTCTTCCCAGGAACCCTCAAGATGTACAGCTTCCCCAGAGGCACCTCCCAGCCTGCTCCGCTCCCCTCACCACAAATGGCTGCACCCCGTCCCCTCCCTCCCAGCTCTGCGTGCAAGCTGGCTGCAGAGCTAACTCATACTAGAGTGGGAATGGCTGTAAAGTGGGTTGCTGAGTAAATTTTCCCTGGGGATACAACACTATTGACAAAGAAGTCAGCCTTTCGCCAAAGGGGCTCCAGAGCAGAGAGAGACGCCCGGCTCCAAGGCAGGGAGCTGCTAGTTCACTGTCCACTTTGCCCCCCTCCCTTCTCAAGGCCACAGTGGGGCAGTGCCTTGACCAGCGTCTCCCCCAGCTGGCGGCAGGGCTGGGTCAGGATCCCAGGGGTCTGGCCTGCCCTAGACCCAGCTGAGAGCCGGAGGCAAAGAGCCCTCTGACCCCCAGAAGTGTCCCCCGGTCATGAGACTCCAGGAATCAGAGAAAGGCTCCAATCACCAGGCAGGCGAGGAGGCCGCAGGCCTCCGAATTCCAGGCTAATTGGCGTCTGGCAGAGTACACACCCCGGCAGCAGGCCTGGCTCTCCCACCCTGTTCCTCACTCAGTCCCGGAACACCCCCCAAAATCCAAACTGACACAGCCCTGTCCCGCCTGGGCCGCCCCAGGAAGCCCCTGACCCGGGCCCCCTCCAAGCGCCGCGGCACCAGGGCGGCTTGGGCTGCGGGCCTGGAAGGAGCGTCCCCCTGCCCCACAGGCCTGAGCATTGCAGACACAGGCCCCCGGGGCCCAGGAGATTGGAGCCAGCCACAGAAACGGCCCCATCTGGAAAGATCCAGACCCCGGGATGAGGAAACCGAGGTCCGGGCAGAGCACAGCCCTGCGGGAATTGCCCAAGGGGTCTGTTGCAACGGGTTTGGATTCCTGGGGTCAGCCTTCCCGGCTTCCCCGCCTCCCGGCTGCCCCGAACGCCTAAGGTTTAGGGACATGTGGCGGCCAAGCAGGAAGGAGCGGCCAGATGTCCCTGGACCCCCACTCCCCGTTGCCTATGGACGTGACGGGGGCAACAGGGGCTCCGGGCTGACCCTTCCCTCCTGGAACAGCCCTGGGGGTGACCTGGGGAGCCGGGAGGCGGTGGGGCCTGGACCTCCGGGGCTCCCGGACCCTCCCCGCAGCAGACAGCTCACCAGCAGGGGGGCACTTAATTCTGCCCCTGAACTCGGAGGAGTCCACCTAGGTGGCCTGGCCACGCCCTTCCTGTGACCCACGGGCCACCAGGCCACCTCCAGCCGCCCCCAGCTCTCTCCTCCCAGGAGAAAAGGCAAGGCTGGCCGTCATGGACCGTCATTCCCCAAATCTCTCCTTCTTTTCTGCAGAATCTAATTCTTTTCAGTCCCGCTGACACTGACTGAGCCCTTTCACAAGCCGGCGGGTGTGATGGCGTCTCCTCCCTGCACCCACCGTGAAGCCGGTGCCGTCGCCCCGTTCTACAGCTGGGAACACTGAGGCCGGAGGAGGTGAACGGATCAGCCAGGACCACAGCCGGAGCCATGGGCTTTACTTCTTGTTTCTGGGCCAGCAGCAAACCAGGCACCGGCACACGGCCCCCCGTGCAGCCCCGAGGTCAGGTGGACCCCCTGGGGCCTGTGCCTCCCGGGGCCCCGGTCCCCCTTTCCAAGTTAGGGTCCCAGGAGGATTCGGGAGGGCTGTCCACGGAGCAATGGCTGCCCTCTCACAGTCCTCTGGGTCAGCGATCGACCCCACAGGAGGGCACCCTCACTGCTAAGGGACCCCATTCAGCATTCATTCCCCTGGTGAGATGCCCACCACCCAGGGGCTCCATCTCCCACCCCAGGGACACACCTGGCCTGGCGTCCAGGGCTCAAGCACGCGGCTCACCAGTCAGGACCCCGGACAGAGAGCGAGCTAGGACCCGTGTGTGACATGCACTCCGCCCGCGCCAGGCCAGCCCCGTGCTCCTTAGCAGGGTCCTCCCTCTCCCCTGCCTCCTGCACAGCCGCCCCCCCCCACCACGTAGGCTGCCCGGTCTGGGGTCCGCACCCCTCTTGGGACGTTCCAGAGCCAGGGGCCCACACCGAGGCATCGCCGTTGGGCTCCCGATGGCCTTCTTGGTGGGCACCTCAGTCACACGCTGGTCTCCGGGCCCCGCCTCCCAGCTCAATCCACCTGGCCATCATGCGACCCCAGGCAGGAAACAGAACCTTCAGGAAGGTTCAAGTGACCCTGCCGTTCAGCTGTGGCCGTGCCCGGGGCGCGTCCGGGACCGCCAACTGGCTGGTCCACTGCAGGATCCACATAACCTGCCCAAAGCCGCGTGGCTACTTAGTTTTATTGATTGAGCATA